ACTTTAACATGATAATGAATCTTAGATATGGAGGCATCGCCAAAATTGATGCTGACGGCTTAAAATTTAGGATTTCTTATATTCTCTTATTAATCTCTTATACAATTAAAAATTGTGAAATTGCAGGTTCACATATAGCAAAAATTACACGCGTCATTAAAAAGCTTACAAAAAACTGCATATAAGACATTTAACCAGTTACTTTGATTTTCCAACTCCTCTGGAGTTATGAGCGGTTGAAAATATGTTTTAGGGCCGCTAGTGTCCAGGACTTTGGCGGGATTTTTGCCTATTTATCACATTTTTAAATAGCAATAAAACCAATCAATCAGCCGTTTAAAAGTCTTATATGTAGTTTTTTGTAAGCTTTCTAATCATGCAAGTCATTTCTGCTATATGTGAACCTGCAATTTCACAATTTTAAACAGTAATAGAGTTTAATAAGAGAATATAAGAAATCCTCAATTTTAATTAAGCCGTCAGCATCAATTTTGGTGATACCTCCATATCTAAGATTCATTATCATGTTAAAATCTACACTTCCTGTGAATTGGGTGCTTTCTTCACAAAGTGCATGATTTTTTACTTTTCCGCTGGACTAACAGTAGAAGTTCCGTTAATCAATATTCGAAAAGCAGAAAATGTATGGTCAAGCAGATTTCTTAGGGTGGTGCTGGACTTCTCTAGGGAGATGCTAGACACACTAGGTGGGGTGCACACCTCCTGCACACTACGGTAGATCCGCCCGGCCCCTGAATTTATGTTCCGAAGGCATCTATTTATTTACAATTTACTTATAAATATACTTACAAAATTATGCATACTGCTGATACCAGTATAATTAATGGTATTCCCACTGAAGTAATCAGTATTACGAGTAACATCGTTCTTGATTTTTTTGCTCCGCATTTTTCACCATCAGTGGGATGCACTAGATAAAAAGAAACAGTATGTAGTTATAATCTTTGGTCGGATTATCACATTGTTTCCAATGGATTGTTCATTGGTTGCACATTGTTAGTGCATGTGTGTTTAACCTCTGTCATAGATTAGGAAATGAATAGATGGCTCACTCCTTTGATGTTTTTGACGCTGCCGGCACCCACGCATGTTCTTGCCAGAGTAATGGCGGCCTATAGCAAGAACTATAATAAAATGTATTGTGAAATTGACATCCGTGCTACTAAATCCTGTATTTTTCCGCTTTCGGGGCTTAATGGGAAAATAAATCAGAATTATAAAAATACAGGATTTAGTAGCACCGATGTCAATTTCACAATACATTTTACAACAGTTACTTGCTAGGCCGCCATTACTCTGGCAAGAACATGCGTGGGTGCCGGCAGCGTCAAAAACATCAAAGGAGTGAGCCATCTATTCATTCCCTAATCTATGCTCTGTGACTGAGGATCGATTCCTATAATGCACTATTGTCTGTGTCCCAAAAAAAATGCCCCTTTAAGAAATCACTCTTGTGCATTATTGTACCTTTGGGAATTTAACGTAATTGTACATGAACGACGGAAGTATTTACAACTTCCCTTCGTCCAAATAATTTAACACTTCGGTTACACTTTGCATTAACGTATAAGTTGTTACGACAAATACTCTGCATTTTTTTCTGTGTTGGTGTAGTGTACTCGGGTGAATATGATGTTTGTGGTATTACTCTGAGTGTATATCCACACCGGGCAAGCTTGGGAATCGAAAAAAAATCATATTACTAGATTGCTTTGGTATCGAAGGAACTAGACTCAGTTCCGAAATATCGCATACTCGAACCGACTTGACCGCGTAACTCAGTTGGCAGAGCATTGGGCTAGTATTCCAAAGGTCGTAGGTTCGATTCCACCGTGGCCAGGCATATTTTTCAAGCTTGCCCGGTGTGGATATACACTCAGAGTAACATCACAAACAAAATACTCTGCATTCTTACTCGAACTGACGGTAAGACGAATTTGTAATTTGACATTTTCGTGTTGCTGTTTGTTTTAGAAGCTATTTTAAATTCCCAGAGGTATAACAACGCACGTTTAACAACAAAAGACTGATTTCTATAGGGATAGGGGGACTTTTTGGGGAACACCCTGTAGTTTCGTTTCGATCTCATGTGAGAATATGACGTAGACTAATGTGAGAAGAGTGCTTCCAGTTTGACTCTACGAAACAGTCCTAAAAGATTCCATATATGTTGTTCAAGTTCTTCTGATCTAAACTACTGATCTGAAACAAGACTGGATAAAGCATCCTATTGAATTCAGTAATCCGATTTTGAAGCCAGAATATTTAAATGAGATGAGACTCATAAATCAGTCAAATTCATGACCAGTTTAATCGTTTGCTGTTTAAGTTCAGTTAGACAATAAAGCAAATATCTTCGCCTATGTGACTTGTGAAATATAGCTTCCAAAACCTCTTCGAAGTAGATTTAGAATGTTTTATACACCACTTAATGAGGCTTGTGGCGGCCATATTTGATGGCCCCATTAGTTATTCACCGGCAAATTTAGGAAAAAAGAGAGGCTACTGATGATAAATTCTTATCTAGGCAATATTTGTCCTTTCCCACTAGTGATTAGAATCGTAAAGGAAGAGCTAAACATGTCCACAACACCAGATTAGGTGCATGGTGGGGCCATCCAATATGGCCGCCATTGCATGGCTTCACTTATGCACAGCAGATGCTTTATCCAGTCTTATTTTAGATCAGTGATCTAAACTAGCTGGGTAAGCACATCGCAGGTAGCTCTCTATCAATTCTTAACTGTTTTTCCTAAAGTTTCAGAATGAGATCCGTGGGGCATACCTATCTGGGATTACTGCAGTACGACAGGAAGAAAAAACATGCGATGTTTGAATAGTATGGTTTCAGTGCAATTTGGAATAAAAGATTCATGAGTTTTTCAAAGACGATAGAAATTGCACGAGTCCGAAGGGCGAGTAAACTTTGAAGTCTTTGAAAAACTCACAAGTGTATGTTATTCCGAATTGCACGAGAAATCATACTATTATGTGGTAATGTACAGTACATGAAAAAATTATACAGTAATACAGAAGCAAATTGATGATCACTTAAGGTCGATGCACTACACAACTTTTGCCTAAAACTCGCAACCTGCTTGCAACTTGAGTTGTATACTGTGTAAATCAAGGACACAACTCGCCAATATTATCACTAAATCTTACCAATTATAGTTTGTGTGGCCGTAGTAACTCGTCCACATGCCTCTCGCACTATCCACAGTCTTTGTATTATTTCGGTTCCATTCTCCCTAACACTCGAACTATCATTGAACTTCAAACTGTCCCCAGGACACAACGAGGACATATTGCGCACAGCTATTTCCAGAGCAGATATATTGGATTCATTAACACGAGTCTGTGTTGGAAGATTGATAGTTGGCCTTCGCTTTTTCCATCGTATTTCTTCTTTAGCTACTATCACTTTAGTACCATTAGGTGTTTTGTAATTGTATATTCTTGTTATAAGCCCTTCACAGTTTTGGGTTATATTGTAGCTAACCTCGGATCCATTTAGGTATTCACTTTTCGAGAGGGGAACTTGAACTATGGATAACATGGGATCACAGCTAGTAATATTAGCCATATCCTTATCTATCCTTCCATCACAACCATTATCCATCGTCAAACCAACTGGGAACAAACGCAGGCAATTCACGTCCCTCATTTCCATCCCTCCTAAGTAGCCATAACCGTCATTGTCAGTTTGACCGACCACGTACGTAGTAATCCGACCGCCTGCTGAAGTATGTCTTATTGGAATCACCGTAGATACGTCTATATTACGAAGCTCGCATGAATAAACGGTGAAGTTAGTTTCGGGTATAGAAAGTAGTGTTAGGTTACTTTTACAAAATTTCGGTGTATCAAATGCTATAGACCTAAACTCTGAAGTGTTTGCAATAAAACTAATACGGTTTGAAAATGGTGGACTTTCATTTTTAACTGGAATTGGTAGATTATAGGAATTCGTATATTGTTGAATAGGTGGTACCATTAAAGCGAATGGTTCTGACTGTATATAGCCTGACGACCCTTTGTTGTACTGCATAAGCATAACTGGCATGCTGCACTCTATATATCTTGGCTCTGTTCGTCCGAGGTTGAATTCGTGGTGCTCACCAGCGCTTAATATCAAATTCATTTTGCCAGGTATTGATATAGAGGTATTATCAAACCCTGCAACGATTTTAAAATAGTCTCCGCCACGATCTCGCCTTATTATTGGTGACGTCATAAACCGCGTGCCCCATTTGGACACTGGCACTAGCTGAGTGCAGAGATGAGAGCAGCCGATATTTGAATTTGGAACCTTCGCACAAATATTACCCCCTAACACCACCACGGGTCCTGTGGCAACCACAAATGTACCCGTAAGATCCTTGGTGTACTGTAGCTGAAAAGTCTGTAGCCTGTTTAAAAATATCCTTAATATATCACCGTTTTGATACACTTTATTCATGTAGGTGATATTCCCTTGCAAGCGAAGTTTAATCTGAACTAAGGTGTTATCTCCTAAGGCTATAATGCCAGCTAGCGATTTGGTGATTGGAGTATAAGTGGTTATCACGTATTGGCTCCCGAGTGTCGATGTTGGGAAGATGACGTAAACATCCCGCGAGCCTCTCCCCCGCGAGTTTTTTCTCGCATTTGTGGCATATACAGATACAGTCGTATTAGCAGTCAGTAAGATTCCTTTGTTCTCGAGGGCAAGTCCTTTCATACGAATTGTAGTGGAAAGTTCAATTCTCGTAGATACTCCAGGGCGAGTATGGCTTGTGATAGTTTTGTTTAGGTAGCGTACCGTTATTTCTGAAGGTGTGCTGGAGGTAACGTAGATTGCACAAGTGCCACTGTCCATGTCCATTTCGAGAAAACCCAGTAGGAATGACCTGCCTTGGTGGTTGAGAGGTTCTGTAAACAAAGAAAGGCTTTCTGGAATTTTAACAAGGGAGGCAGGGCTCACTTGTATATCTAAGCTTATCTAATTAATTGATTTGTTGGGGTTTTTTTGTGAATAACATACGGAAAATAATTCTCGATTTCATCGGGGAGGGGGGGAGGGGGGCTGGTTGTTCATAACTCTATCCCTGTATTTCTGCTTGTCTTTTCATTTCAAAACTGTAGACGAAATAAAACTTCTGCTTATCCAGACAAGATTCCATGCTTATAAACCAGCTGTTGCGAAGATCGTTTTGAAGATTTTGTTAACGTAAGGTTGACCTAATCGACTTTATGGCCCGTATTCTAAAAGCTCACTCACACTCAATGAGTGGAGATTCAATCTGAGCTTCTGTTGAGTGTCAATGCTGTTTTTGAATAGCTGGAGGGTGAGTAGTTACCGAGTAAGGTATGACACTAGCCCTCCAGCTATTCAAAAACAGCATTGACACTCGAGAGAAGCTCAGATTGAACCTCCACTCATTGAGTGTGAGTGAGCTTTTAGAATACGGGCGTATGTCCATATCGATAAAAAATTTATCACTGCACAAATTGCTTATCACTGTCCCTTAAAATAATCCCTGCATGTTCATGTATAAATAGTAGGGTGATGCTAATGTACGGCTGTGGTACGGTGTATAGCAACAAATCCAAAAGTAAAACACGATAACTGTTTGTTTTTCTTGGCACGTCTTAAGCACAGATTAAGCACATCTTAAGTTTCCTATTAACATAATACGCGCGGATTAAAGTATAACCATTTATCTGGAACAACCGCACTTTTTGCGCAGTTGGATAACGGCGTTTCTATGTTGAACCAAGCATACTATGAACCAAGAGAGCGTCGCTATACGTCATTAACACAATACACGCAGATTAGGAGTGACTTATCATGCGTGATTATCATATTGTGATTATAATCTGCGTCATCGTACATAGTAACTTACCATTACTCAATTCCCCGCCTTTCGTCCCTTGAATGAACAAAATTACCATCTTTATCCGAAATAGAACTAGTAGAATATCTTTCAGACGTTTCATCTTTAGTTTAGTATCTCTTCGCCCGGTTCTCTGTCAGCAAACTATGGCAGAAAGATAGAAAATGCCAGAATTATACACGAGTGTTTTGGCTGGGACCTCATTCATCTCACGAGTATGTTTTAATAGGATAATCCCACTTAAAACTTTGAGTTTTTCTACAGGATATGCACGGGTGTAGTTAAAAGGCGGGCGCGGACTGGCGGACGCGGACCAGCGGACGCGGACTGGCGGACGCGGACTCGCGGACGCGGACTGGCGGACGCGGACTCGCGGACCCGCGGACTGGCGGAAAATTTTTTTTACCAATTTTTTAATTATTGGAAATAAATTTAATTATAAATAAATTAATATTAAAAAAAATATTAATATTATTATTAATAATAATTAACAATTATTCTCCGAAGGCGAGGTGATTATCGGTGAATAATTTATTCACGATGATCCCCAAGCCTGAGGTGAATAATTGTTTTAGTATAATTTCACAGGTGATTATTTGGGAAAAAATAAAAAATACACATTTCTTCGTCAGTTAATTGACAAAACGGCTTCGGCCGCCATTTCGAAAATCGCTTAGGTGCGTTATAATCACCTCAACGGCAACCAATCAGAGTGGAGAATTTTCAATAATCACCTAAGTAATTAATAATAATATTATATATTACATTAATAATATCATTTTTTCTCCTTCACATCATGCGACAACCGAATTCAATAATTGTTTAATAATCTCGTGTCACGCGTTGACACCAGAATTCGATTTATTCATACTGCTTGTTTAAAAAGACAGCAGGCATATTTTGTAGCGTCCTTGGTGCAAACGCCAACCAGAATCAGAGAGATTCTGACACAAGATCACATTTTGCATAAAAGAGAGTTTGGTTTACTAGTTTAGAAAGTTCTTTATGCAACAGTTATCGAAAACGCAAGTTGTTTTCCGGTTTTCCATGTATAAAGTTCTGATTATTGATACAGTATTGTTAGTTTTAAAATTATTAAAGGACCATTGTTACGTTATGTATTGTCTATATTTTCCCAACATGAGAGCGCTCAGTATGACACCCTTGTCTTAATCCAACCAGCTGTTTCGTATCTAGCTTCAAGGTGATAATTGTAGGTTACTTGAAAGTCAGTACGTGTATTCAGACTAATATGCGTTGCGAGCATAATAACATAGAAACGTAATCAGTTCTGTTTATGCGTTGCGTTTACCGTATAGAAACACAGCTGTAGGCAAAGTATAAAAACGACGAAAGTTGCAAATGATTGGGCCATTGGTACAGGGCTTCAACTTATATATTTTCTTAGTTAATTGGTAGCATTCGTGCACTTCCAGATCAATGCACTCTTGTGCATTATAGTTAACAGTAGTTTAAAAATTACAATATTTTATTCAAAACTTTACATATTCTATTCGTATCTATTCTATCCTCCGCACTCTCAACGCCACTGAAAGGAAAACTGGTTTTCGTAAGATCTTAATCATCACGACCATCAATATCCAAATTATCGTGATGCTTTTGACAGCCGCGTTTTATCGCGCATCAGTTTTCTTTCCGGTCTTCAATCGACTGCACCCAGACTGACACTCATAGAATACACTTAAAAGTTGTTATGTAGTTCGCCATGATACTATTACAGTGTTACCGAAAGTTAAAGTACACACTAAGTCGAATACAATGTGATTGGACGCTTTCCTTAAAATATTTGATCCTGTATGAATAAATCGAATTCTGGTGTCAACGCGTGACACGAGATTATTAAACAATTATTGAATTCGGTTGTCGCATGATGTGAAGGAGAAAAAATGATATTATTAATGTAATATATAATATTATTATTAATTACTTAGGTGATTATTGAAAATTCTCCACTCTGATTGGTTGCCGTTGAGGTGATTATAACGCACCTAAGCGATTTTCGAAATTGCGGCCGAAGCCGTTTTGTCAATTAACTGACGAAGAAATGTGTATTTTTTATTTTTTCCCAAATAATCACCTGTGAAACTATACTAAAACAATTATTCACCTCAGGCTTGGGGATCATCGTGAATAAATTATTCACCGATAATCACCTCGCCTTCGGAGAATAATTGTTAATTATTATTAATAATAATATTAATATTTTTTTTAATATTAATTTATTTATAATTAAATTTATTTCCAATAATTAAAAAATTGGTAAAAAAAAAATTTCCGCCAGTCCGCGTCCGCGAGTCCGCGTCCGCCAGTCCGCGTCCGCCAGTCCGCGTCCGCCAGTCCGCCGGTCCGCGTCCGCCAGTCCGCGCCCGCCTTTTA